GCTAGCCAAAGTGAAATGACAATGCTGCCACGACAGCACGTGCAGGCAGTAATTATGAAGGCAGACTGGGACCCCAAGCAGTGGGACCCACTGGAGTTCTCAACTGAGTCATAAGGGGAGAATTAGGAAGAAGAGATAGGGATTCCCTATCTTGAGGCCCAACCAGTTTTGGTTACTAAATTTAAAATGGCCCAACCCTGCCCAATTGGTGTGGATCCTGCTGATCTGCTGGTCCCCAAACATTGGCAGAATGCAACAATGAGGGACTACATATCTTTCAAGTTAGTAGAACTGGCAATTTGGTATAGGCTGAAAGGAAGAGTCTGTGGCTACTTGGCTCCTCCACCTGCGGGACACAATGGGATAGTCCTCATCAGCCTTGCAATGTCTAGGATGGCTTCTGTTAGTACCTATCCTGCTCACTGAGTCAGGTCTCTGTACTGCAAATCAACAAGAACCACATAGTATCACTCCTGGTATAGGTGACTGCAGCCTGCAGAGCAGCCTGGCCAAATGAGGGAGACCTCCCTCATAGGCTTAGCAACTATAGTAGAATTGCAGGAAGTGATGAGAGAGCTTAAGATGAAACACGCTGTGTACACAAAACATTATTGGGGCCAAGAAAATAAGCTGCTCACAGGTGGAATAAAGGATGTCATTTTACATTTGGCTTCTAACCAGTGGTATGTAACCCTGGTGTTCATACTGAGACCCACTGTGGGACAGCCAGTGTCCAAGGCTGCTCAAGTTGACCTGGGTGAAACCCAAAACAGTGCCCCACTGGATGTTCAGGATGTGGGAATGCAGGAGGGGGTGGAATGGGCAAGTAAAGTAGCAATAAGGTCCAGTCCGAATTACTAGAAAGCAATGTGGACTGACTTGCTTGCTGCTGGCACCCCTCCAACATGAAACTGACAAACAGCCCAATGCAGCCCTGAGCAGCAATTCACCGGTAGAAACAATTTCTAAGGACCCACCCTGCCTCTAGTGTAACCTCAGTATGTGCAATGCCACCTGGCTTGACTAGCAGTCTTGCCAAGGTTCTCCTGGCCCTCGGACAGGGAGACTATTGAGGAACTGGAAGCCCCATGCAGAATTAACCATCCATTGGTCTCCAAGAAATAAACTGTTTTAGTCCTAGTGGAGATGGGGCGGAGTGTACTCTAGTTTATGAAAACATCCACTGGTTCCAGGGACTGCTTAGTGCAACTGATGGGTATGGGAGCAGCACAAAGTACACCAAGTGGCTTTGACTCTGAGGATTGGCCGTTTGCACCCCAAAGGAATATAAAGTATACATTTCTCTTCTCCCCAAATATATCCTAGGGATGGACCTACCGGGAAGGTTAACACTATGACCACCATAGGAGAGTTCCATTTAAGAGATCATGTGGTAAAATCTGCTATTCGGGAACAGCCAAAATGGACCCTACTCCATTGATGCCTACCCTGCCGAGTGGTTGACATCAAGCAATACTGTCTATATCTGGTAGCACGAGGAGATTACAGCCACTGTAGCTGAACTTGCTTGGGAGGGAATTATTAGGCCCACTCACAGTCCACTCAATACCCCAGTATAGCCAGTGCAGAAGCCAGATGGAGCATGGTGTATGGCTGTAGACTATTGTGACCTTAATAAGGTGGTACCACCTCCTCATGCATCCGTACCCAATATTGTTTCTTTCCTCAACCATACTGGAGAATGCTTAGGTATTCGTCACTTTGTGCATTGACCTAATGCCTTTTTTAGTATCTCCATTGACTCTGACAATCAAGAACAGTTTGCCTTCCAATGGCTGGGTGTGGGGAACACTAGACTTTCACCACTCTCTCTCAGAGATATCTCCACAGTCTACATTGTGCAGCTGGGGAACACTCAAGCTGATGAGCTGGCCTAGCTACATGCCATACAGCAAGTACTGGTAGAACCAGTGGATGAATGGCTATACAGAAAAACAGGTCATAAAGGGCAACATACACTATAGGCCAGCGCCAATGAGATGAGCCTCCCCATCTCCATGAAACAAATTGTGGAGGCTTGCCAACAGTGAGTGCCCTAGCTGCTTGTTAGAACGACATAAACCATTCCCTATCAGATGGGCAGACTACCCCAGGTGGACATGCCTGCCAGACGGTGGCAAGTGGATTACCCAAGGCCCCTCTCTATGTCTGACAACTGTTGGTTTCCCCTAACATGCAGACACTTATTACACAACTCTTGCAAGCATATCTGTGCAAATGGGCTACTCAGTGTTCCACTATTCAAGGTCTCTTCCAGCTCTGTGTGGACTACGGCATTCCCACTGACATTGATAGTGACTGGGGACTCATTTCACTGGACAGGAGACCCAGGAGTGGGCAGATGGTCTGGGATTTGCATGGCATTTTCACCTCCCATACAATCCTACTGCTGATAGGCTAGTGGGTGGAATGGGTGAATGGAATCCTGAAGCAAACCTTCACCAGGGCACAGACTCATTACAACAGTGGACATGGAAACTACCAGAGGCTCTGCAATGATTATCAAAGGCAGACCCGACTCAGTGTCTATCAGTTGCTCACACTGGAACTGCAGAAGGCCATGAGAATCCAAATATTCACCACATGTGAATACGCCTTGCCAGTGTCTGGAGACGCTCACAATCTTCTCTTGCTGTTGCCCCAGGATCTAGGCCAGGGAAGTCTGTTATCTCCTTCCCTGGCCTAGATGGCAAACAGGTCCCTGTTTGTTTGGCTTTTTGGCTCCATAGGGAGTAGGGCTAAAGGTACATTTAAAAGGATCCCCATGGTTTAATCCAGCACCTCCTGAGAGTTTTCAGTTTTTCCATCTCAGGAGGGATCCCATTCCCTGAGGGAGCATTGCAGTCCCTACATTGGATGATACAAATCTCCCAACCCAAGAGGACCCTTAAGGACAAATAGTATGGTACTGCAAACCAGGGAGAGATCTCAACCTCCAATGCAAGATGGACAAGCCTTGTCTCTGTCCTTCTGCCCTTAGAGTATGTGGTAATGTTTTTGCCAGTTGGGCCACCATGTCTGCAGATGTGAAGAATCAGTCAGTCTGTTGAATGTGTGGAAAGCTCCCTCCCTCCTCTGTTGTGGGCATGCCAAGGAGAATGCACCTGCTAACACAGTGCTTGGGCCTGCTTGACAAGGTGGAGACAGGCTGGAGAGTCTGTGAGCATTTCCCAATGCTTCTAGCTAATTGTTCTATACAACTTCCATCATGGAACCATACTTGTTCCTGTATGTTCCATATTGTACTGGAACAAATTAATGCTACTTATACTCACAGTTACATTGTGTGGGATAGTCTGGGGTGGCTGTCAGTGATATAAATCCAATTAAACCATGAGGCCTCATGGTGTATAGAGAGAGCCCCTACCAATCACAGCTGTAATATGGGCTGATTTCTACGGCAAGCATGCCACCAATTATTTGTGGTTAGATAGGGTTGGAGTCTTCCCCCTCCCCTTGGAACTAGCTCTGGATATGTGGGTCTCATGGATGGCATTATCTACCCTACAAGTGGATAGGCTAATACACATGGGGACAGCCCTATAGCCCTAGCACCAATTACAAATGCCTGACTGTTAAACCCAGCAGCTGGGTTACAGTTTACAGCTGCAACCATTGGGCCAAACACACCTCCTGGTGGTTTTATCCCCCTGCAGTCCTGGCCTCCAATACTGAATGGCAAGTAGAGGTCCTAGTGAAACATACTGCACTGCCACTGCTTTAAATCAAACCCACCATGCTCTTACTTTTTTTGTCATCTGAAACAGAACAGATTCACAAGGTGGTGTTACAAAACCACATGGCCCTAGATGTTTTCACGGCTGCTCAGGGAGACACCTGTGCTCCCATCCAGACTGGATGTTGTGTGTATACACCCAATCACCACCCTAACATTTCCATGGCCCTACAGCAGATGCAGGGCCACATTTCTATAATCCAGCAGTTATCTAATGACTTCTTCTCAAGCTGGCTCAACTCCTTATCCTCACTCGGCATGGTGACTTATTTTCCTATCAATTGTTGTTGGGATCTTGAGCCTGGCGATAGTGCTTTGTTGTAATAAACACTGTTGCTGTGAACTCTGGTTACAACTCTCCAATGCCGAGGCCTCAGGGATTGTGCAGAATATGGGCAGTAAGATTGTAAGGGTCACTAAAGGGCAGTGAGGTGGAATGTAGGGATAGAGTGCAAATGCTCCAAAATGGCCACCCTAATGTCAACTCAAATCGTATCTCCTATCCTTTCCCCTGCTCCCACTATGCACACCAACACTCCTACACATATGCTAGGAAGTAGCAGACAGACCCTCCTCCTGCTATGCATAACAAAGCCCTTTGTTCTCTAGGAAGGAGCAGGCAGCCCAGTACCTTGTGGTTTTCCTACCTTTTCCATATTCCATATAGCACCCTTAATTGCACTGACACATGTGAAGTTATCATACCCCAGAACATAAAAAGACCCTATCCTCATGCCCCTCACATGGAAAATCTTGACTGTCTAGTAGACTGCCACTGGAAACAGCCACTCTTCTTGTCCTAGCTTAGTAAGCTTCCCTGTTTGTAAACCATCTCGTTTCTTTTCTTTAATAAACTAACGTCTCTTGTACTGACTCCTGATTGCTTCTTTGGTCTCTTGGCAACCGTATGCAGAAGGATTGTCCCTTCTGAGCTTGAACCCAAACAAAGTATCATCCACAAACACATTCACACATACACCATACATTGCTCAACATGAAATTTATTCTTTTCCCTCTCTGTTCTTCTTCCTCTATCCTTATCCTGGTTAATACTCACCATCTACTTCCCATTCAAGTCAGGAACCTAGGACACATTCTGGACTATCTCCTCATGCTCATAAGTGGGTTTGAATCTCAAGTTGCCTGCCAACTGCACTTTCTCCTGGACCAAGTCCTCTGGCTGGCCTACTCCCTAAGCTTTGGGACCCAGAGGTTCAGTTAGCAAGGCAAAACTGTGGTTCACCTTTGGTATGTAGGAAGTCAAGAGCTGCAGCAACATCCCGCACCACTCGGCTGGCTTCTCTCTCATTGAAGTGCTTCCGCTTCTGGATGTGGGCCAAGATGGAGCCTGGGGAGCAGCGGGGACACAGGAAAGACTCTCAGCTCTAGTATGTCTAATATCTTAGAGGTTAAGTTACCACATGTTTGGGAGTTTTCTGAGGGTAGGAACATAGGCTTATTCACTGCTAAGTCTCCAGCAAGGAGCCCTGGTGGTACAAACAGTTAAGCACTTGACTGCTGAGTGAAAGATCAGCTGTTGATCTGTGGGAAAGACCTGCTGGTCTGCTTCCATAAAGATCACAGCCAAAAATACCCGACGAGACAGTTCTATTCTGTCACCTAGGGTCATTGACTTCACTTGATGCCCCCTCGTAGCACCAACATTAAAGGTCCAGAGGTACAGAGGAGGTACCAGATGATGTGTCTGTTAAGCAACACTGGATTCTAATCTCCTGGACATATAGATATGCTGAGTACAGAAGGGAAGGAGAACAACCAAAAACCATTAGTGCCATTGGGGCTAATTTGCCTTCTGAATATCAAAACGAACTAAAAGTGAACACATGTGGGTTTGAGGGATCCTTTCTGTAAGAGCATTTCTTCCTTTGCATCTGATCTCAGATCCAAATGAGGCACAAGCCTTCAAAAGGAAATGCCACACCTTCACCAGATATGTAAAAGTCTAGAAAAAGGGCAAAGACCTGTTTTTCCCCTAAACTGTCCTATTTATTATTTTAGTAAAAATGGATAATATTTATGGAATAGTTACTATGTGCCAAGCACTATGACTCTCTAAACAAATCATCTTTTACTTACCACAACTGTACAAAATGGGTAGTATTAGTTATCCCATTTTGTAGATGGGGAAATGGAGGCCAAGTATGTTTAAGCAACATGTCCAAGATCATGTACCAGTCTGTGGAGGAACCAGGACTTAAGCTGAGTTAAGTCTGAGCCTGTTCAGACTTCCCACCTGTAGCACTTGTAGTCCAAATGCTGTGAGGATGGGCTGCCCCGAGGCAACCACAACCACAATTTCTTTACCTACTGCTTCTAGCCAAAGTGGGCCACACTCTAAAGCATAAGGCTACAGATGATGACCATTCCATGTAGCATTTCACACGGGTAATTCAGGGGTAAACAGAGGCAGGAGCAGATGGCTTGACTCCTTGTGGTCTATACGCACTAGTGGAAATCAGTATTTCTAGGCTGAATGCATTATCTTTATGTACTCCCCAAAAAAGACACACAGGCTTATTTACCTGGGTTTTTTTTTTTGGCATGGAGAGGGTATGAGGGAGGAAAGGCTAGAACTGCCAAAGATATTTCACTTATTAAACAATTTAGAGATCTCAACACTCTAGGGCACATTCCCAGAAAACCGGCTCTTGACTAGGCTGCTAGTATGCTCTGCTCAGTGAGTCTATTCCAAACTCATCAAAAGGGAAAGTAATGTTCCCACATACATTTAAGATAGCCCCCAGAATACCCAATTATTTAAATAATAACAGCTAACATTTATTGAAATAATGAACACATCTGACTGCTAACCAAAAGGTTGGTGGTTTGAGAGCACCCAGAGGTAGGTACTTCAGACAAGGAACCTGTAGAGCTATTTCAAAAAAATCAGTCTGACAACCCACCACAGCACAGGTCTACTTGGACACACATGGGATCACCATGAGTCAGAATCGAGATGCTAAGTGGTACTGTGCTAAGCATTTCACACGGTTTATCTCTTTTAATCTTTTCAGGGGCTAATGAGATAGGTGCCTTTATTATCTCTAGTTTACAGATGAGAAAACTGTTTGGAAAGGTTAAGTGATTTGCCCAAGGTCACACAGCTAGTAAATGATGGAGCTGGGCTTACGCCTAGCTTGGCTGGTTTCTAAAGAACATAGCCATAACCACCAAGCCCCTCCATGAGGTCCTTTACCTAGTTCCAGAGCCCCATCCTCCAAACTTTCGCTTTGCAACTGCATCTTGGAGTAGGGAGAGAGACGAGATGCAAAGGGGTTTCTATTCCTTCTTTATGTTAGAAGAACAAGTTAAAACATATATCTCAGTGATATTGTATGTGAGGTGATGGCAGTCATGGTGGTGGTCAAGAGTAGAACCTTTCCATTAGAAATATGGCACATTCTCAGGCCTTCTCTCTATCCTGGGTGTGTCTCTCAAACAATGGGAGCCTCCTCCCCTGTGGTGAGCCTTTCTAGATCTCACAATGCATGCCAGAGCTTCCACCCCATAATTAATTGAGTTAAGTAGTGAACATGTCAAAATAGGGGATTGATAAATTGGTGACTAAATGTATCTATATATGACTCCTATTATAATGAAAAGGCATTTATAGAATGCCCACACAGGTGACATTCTAAGCTCTGCAAAATGCTAATTATCATCCTTCCCTCCGGCCTCCCTTCTCCCAAACCAAGGGCAGTTTTTAAGTCCTTCATCCTTTTTATTAGCTTGACTCGTTTTAGAAGTCTCTGGGATTCATGATGGATGATTACCACTCTGGTTCTTAATCAGAAGTCCAAACACATACTCAACAGTAAGTACCTCCTTGCAATTTCTCAAAGACCAAGTAAAACCTTGTGTCATCTTCGAAGAATTCAATCAGCTCCAAAATGTTCCTTAAATAAGAAAAACCAGGAGGTGAGGGGAAAAGGGAAATGGCGTTATATATTAATGTCCACTTACAAATATACAACAAAAAATACATTCAACACCCTGTAGCAGGGCAGAAATCAACTAGAAATCAGAATGCTTATTAAAGACCTATGTTTGAGAAGTAGCCAATGGTGTTAGCAAGATTCAGGTCACCTTATCTTTCCATAATGTTTAGTCTCTGGTGTTTTCACCAAGTCTGTGCTGTCAAACCCCAACCCTAAAACCCACTAGGTAGAGTTATAAAAAGTCCCGGTCACATTAAACTGAATAAAATCTGCAGCCGACTGGAAGCAATTGCGGCTAATAACACTGAATAGTAGGTGTGTGTCCTGGAGGCAAGCAGCAAATAATTACTTGCCCTCCCTCTTGCCCATAAATCACAGGGCAGTATTTACATTGCCTGGAGAAAATGGAAACATCTGTCAAATAGACTTGGGGCCTAACGTGGGCACCGCTAGACCCTAACTGCTAAGCGCTGCTTAATGAAACGGCCGCCTTTCTGGCCACTGTAGCACTTGTGGCCTTCCCCGGTGAGCACTCTCTGTCTGTCCGAGTATTACAGTGCTCTGCCAACAAGGTCGTCTTGTAACTCAGTAGGGAAGCCACCAGCCTGGATATTGGAGGTGTTGGGGGCTTTTTTTCTTTTAAAGAACGAAATAAACCAAGTAGAGTCTCTAATGCTGAACTAAGAAGCTGCAGGGCTGAAAATAAAAATCTGTCCCTCATAAAAAAATGCTGACCACTTTGGGAGACACCAGGCTTTTACTAGTGTGAAGGCGTCCAAATAAGATGGCCAAATGGCCTAATTTGAAAGAAGACGGGGAAGCAGTGCCAGAGTTAAATCAACAGCAGCCCCCATCCTACAAGCTTAATGACAAAGCCATCAATACCAGGCCATTGGCTCCCTGCTGACCCGGCCTTGAAGGGAGAGAGAGGGGGAATCAGAATCTTAGAGGTGACCCTGATTTAAAGCCACAGTGGGAGAGTCACTCATTTGGAGCTGGCGGTGAGCAGAGTAAGCCTGGGCTAGACATTACCTTGGCCCAGTTATTAAGCAAAGAGTGGAAAGCAAGGCTTCAGGACCCTTAGTGTATTTGCACATATGTGAGGGATGGAAAACAGCAGAAAATATTCTTAACAATTCTCATGGTCCTCATCAATTTCTTGGAGCAAGTCCCTAAAGATTTCTACCAGGAAACACTTGTAAAGACTTCTACCAGGAAACACTTGTACTTGAAAGAAATAAACTCCATTCTCCCCGACCCCCAAAACAGCTACTAATTCAGATCATTCATTCTTCTAACTTGGTGGAATTTCTGATAGTTCTACTATTTCAGTCTAAACAGAAAATACACTTCTTCGCTGCTGCTTCTTCCCCCTTCCCTTTTTAACATTGGAAGATGGCAGACGCTGTATGTGTTGTGGGAAGAGTGAGAGCTAAAGGCTGGGGTCTGAAGATGTAGGAAATAACTGCATTTGCTGTGGCCTAGCATCCCCCCAGAGAAGCAGCAGGTACCCGGGCCCAACACTATACTCACTTGTTTCCCTGACACTGATAGAGCGTCTCCACCTCTCGAAATACTCGGCTCCGACTGTGCCCTGCTTGTTTTTCGATGATCTATGGGAAGAATAAAAGTTGTCATGTACACCCACATGATCTCGAACCACGCCTTCAGCAGAAGCCCCATGGGAGAATGCAAGGCAAAAGTCAGTCCAAATCCAGTTTCCAGCAGAAGTCTGGAGCAGGCCACGGTGACATACACTGTGGCTCTATCAACAAAGCAATAGACTGGCGCAAGGGCTCTCCAGCCCAGCTGAGCCTGTTTGACTCTGACCAAACACAACACCACAGAAGGCTGTGCCCCCACCTTGCTGCCCAGAGGAGACTGAGTCAACCAACATGACAAAGAGCTATCTCTACCTAGCTTCTACCCCTGTAGGGCATCTCCTTCTGCCTTTAGAACTAAGACCCGCTCCTGAAGGATCTCCTAGTGCTGGGGGTGGAAGACAGAGTTGGAGAAGAATGAAAGCTTCAAGGCCCAAGTCAAGTGCCACCTCCACAACTCCCTCAGGCAGGAGTCAGCTCTTCCTCTTCTGAGAACTCATTCTTTGGTAGACATTGTACTAAGGGCATTCAGGACACTACACTACATACGTATTCTTAGTCAACCCTTACCACCATCCCAAAGATAGGGAGAGGTGACCCAGTTTGTACACAGCTCTGGTAAGTGACATAGCTGGCATAACTGGCTCAGAGCTGACACCAAAGACCTTGCTGCCCTACACCGGTTCTTGTACCTGTTTATACCCTATACAGCTGCTCTTAGATCACCTGAGGCTCTGTCTATACTACTGTGGGTGGGCTCCCTTCCCTATTCTGTGCTTGGACATGCTTGGCAAATACTAGCTTAAGGAATGAATGGATGAGCCAATAGATGAACAGGTAGGTGGTTTCCTTAGGGACTGACTAACTCTGAAAAGATCTATAAACCCACTGAGAACCCCAAACCATTGCAAGTGGAGCCTGTGGGCACATCTTCTGCAAAGCCTGGCTCTGTCTTACAGCTCCCAAGTGCAAGGTGTGCAGCACAGATGATTCATTCTGCTCCTTCATTCAAAGACTGCAGTGCAGAATACTTCAAATTGTTCTGATATGTTACAGCAGAAACATCTATGACCAAATGTAATTTTCTAAATAAGTCCATGTCTGTTAGTAAACTGCTGTGGACCTATTTTCTGAAGTCAGAGAAATGCAGTGCTTTGAGGTACAGAAGCTATTCAGGTCATGCATTCACCAAGTGTGGTGCAGTGAATGATTTGATATGGCCCTCTGTCTACAGTCTTTGCAATTCCTACCAGGTGACGACTGCATAGGCCTAGGCAGACTAGGTGTCTAGGGCTCCCCAAGGGAACTAGATAGCTTGCTGATAATGTAAATAAGGCACATGGCACCTTTGTCTGGTAGGACCATGCTAGTGAGATACATGGAACCCTATCATGGGAATTCAGTTTTCTCATCTTGCCTGGTTCAAAATGAGCCATCTCAGAAGCAGGAGCCGGGGGATAGTGCTACTATCAAGAAAGAAGCGCTAGGAATGGAACATGTAATTTGTACCTTGAGACCCCTGTACTGTCTCTCCTTGATCCAGGAGAGAGACAGCTGTGACACTGCAGGTGGCAAAAGGTAAAGAGAAATGGTGGGAGAGAAGCGGCGGCAGCAGCAGCAGTAAGGACATGCATGAGACAAGTGGTGGGCTTCCTGGCTCAACGAGAAAACGGAATGCCTTTGGGCAGGAGACTTGCTAGTGGAGTAGGCTGCCTCCAGCCACTTAATTGGGGAGAGCCAAGTTTGCCGACCCATGAAGCTAGAGCTGAACACCTTCTGACTGAGGTTAACTGACAGATTTGGAACTTACTTAACAGGCAGAGTTACACCTGTCCAAGCAGGGCAGAGGCCAAGGGAACATGGCACTGAGAGAACTTTGTTAACACTAACCAGGCTGAAGGCCTGGGCTTAGCTGAGAACTGAAAAACTAGATCCCTGATCCTGAATTGTAACCAGCTACTTCCCTAGTTTGAGGACTAAGGTGTGCCTGACCCAAGCCATGGTATTTTCAATAACCTCATATGGATGCAAAAGCTATACAGTGAATAAGGAAGACCATAGAAGAATTGATGCCTTTGAGTTGTGGTGTTGGAGAAGAATACTAAAAGTGCCATGGATCGCCAAAAGAACCAATAGATCTATTTTGGAAGAAGTGCAGCCAGAGTGCTCCTTGGAGGCCAGGATGGCTAAGCTCCGTCTCTCATACTTTGGACACATTGTCAGGAGGGAACAGTTGCTGGAGAAGGATGTCATGCTGGGTAAGATGGAGGGTCAGAGAAAAAGAGGAAGACTCCTAATGAGATGGATCAGCCAGGTGGCATCATTGATGGCATCAAGTGTGGCAGTGGTAGTGAGGTTGGCCCAGGATTGGACATTGTTTCATTCTGTTGTGCATGGGGTCATTATGAGTCAGTTCTGACTCGATGGCACCTGAGAACAACAACTTTCCTAGTAAACCCATAATCATGAGCATGGTTTTTGAGTTCTGTGAGATCATTACAATGAACTATTGAACCCAGCTGAAAAGTAGAGAGTACTCTGTGAGGGATGGTTGATGTCAGAATTGTTAAAATGGCTGGAGCCATATCTAACCTCTGCCTCATAGGACTTGGCCTTGCGCTGGTGCTGATGTGATTCTCTTTCTCCCAACTTGTGCAGTTAGAGGAGGTCAGATGTTGTCTATACACATTGTTGCACCAAGTATTCCAGATGAAAGTCAGAAAGAACTTTCTAGTAGGCAAGCAAGCCAGCAAAAACATAGTTTCCCCAAGAATCTGGCTACTAGAGATGTAGGAGGAGAACCTGGGACAAATATTTGAAGAAGCTATAGAGGTCGGCAGTTCAAACTCACCACCTGCTTTTTGGAAACCCCTATATCACTAGAGTCCTGGTGTGGTGCTGTGGTTAAGCGCTGGGCTGCATGGTCAGTTTGAAACACAAGGTTGGTGGTTCAAGCTCACCAGCCATTCCTCGGAAACCCTATACAGGGTCATTATGAGTCAGAACTGAGTAGACAGCGCTTAGCAACAACAGCATCATAGAGGAAATTTAAGACCAGATTATCTTGAAATTGAATTCCAACTCTGAGACTCTTAAACTTCATCAGTCGGATGCCTATGGGAGAAGCCCAAATAAAAGAAAGCACTCTGAAGCCATGGTGGAAGAAGCAGCCCATCTCTAGGAATTTTCAACCAGGAGGGGAGACAAGAGGCATGGGTAGAACCACCAAAACAAAAGAATTGCCAACCCAGGGTCCAGTGTTTGTTCAAGGTTACCAAGGAGCATGGAGGAAGGACCAGGTCTCCTCTTGTGAACCAATCATCCATAAATGTATTCAAACCTTTGAAAATCTATTTATATTTTAAGATTTTTTTTTTACCACATGGAACCATATTTAAAAATTACTTATAATGAATACTGATCTGTTTCCAAAAAGGTAGCTGTTTTGTTACCATGTAAAGCAACACTCCAGCTAAAAAGGAACATTAATCATAAAAGTGCTCTCCTTTATAATCCACAGCTAGGACTGTGGACAATTGGTTAACAGAAGAGAAAATACTTCTTCATGAGCCAATCTGGTTGGAGTTGTCAGTATGAAGCAGTCCCTATACCTGATAGCTCCGGTGGATGATCTGAAATAAGTTTAAATTGTTCTGTTGGATTTAAGAACTTTGTGGTTCTCAAACCTTGGTGACTCTCACAATCACCTGGGAACAAAGACACAGGTTTCTGTCATTTATTAGTTTTCCAGGTGATTCTGTTATACTTTAATGTTCACAATAGCCTCACATCAGTGGGTCTCAAGTTTGAGTATCATAATCACCTAGAGAGCTTGTTAAACTCACACAGCTGGGCCCCATCCCTAGTATGTTAAGGGGTACCTCCTCCCAAAAAACCCACTGCCATCAAGTCAATTCCAACTCACAGTGACAGTGACCCTGTAAGATGGAGTAGAACTGCTCCATAGGGTTTCTTAGGTAGTAAGTCTTTACGGGAGTGGAAACCATCATCTTTCTCCCAAAGAATGGCTGGGGGAGTGAAACCTCCAACTTGTAATTAGCAGCCCAACAGTTAACTCAGATGATTGGCATTTCTAATAAGCTGTCACATGATGTTGATAGTGCTGATATAGGGACCACACTTTGAGAAGCACTGGCCTAGAATCATTGCTTCTTCCATGTGGAGGAGGCAAATAGGAGCAAAGAGGGGTTAAGTGAGTTATTCCAAGGTCACGCTGATAATTAAAGGCAGGAATGAGGCTAGAACCCACAGCTCCTGGTCTAAACTGAGTGCTCAGTCACTTTAATCTCTACCCTCCATCACAGTGATAATGCTCATCTCTTGAATAGTGATTTTGTAATTTGTAAAGTGTTTCTATCTCTGTCCATTCTATTTTGATTTTCATCTTCATAACCACCAAGAAGGGCAGATACTATCATCTTCGCTTTAGACATGTAGGAACTGAGGCTTATGGAGGCTCAGTGACCTGCCTCAAGTCTCTTGATAGTCATTTGTCAAAACAGACTCAGGCTGTTGTTGTTAGTTGCCATTATGTTGTTGTTAAGTGCCACTGAGTTAGTACCGACTCCAGCGACCCTGTATAGGGTTTCCAAGGAGCCTTTAAGTCAGTTCTAATTCATAATGACCTTTGTATAACAGAATGAAATGTTGCCAGGAATGCACTGTCTTCATCATCATCGGGATGTTTGCGTCCACTGTTGTGGCCATTACAAATGTAATTCCAAATCTGGCTGTCTAGTCCCTGAAACTGATTTTATCAGAAAGCAGCAGCTTACTTTGGGAGTCAAGCTTTGTTGTACGCACTTTACACATATTAACTCAATCCTCACAACAATTCTATATAGGTTCTACTATCACATTTATTTTACAGATAAAGAAACTAAGGAACAGAGAGATTAAGTAACTTGCCCAAAGTAGCAAAGCAAGCAGAGAAATCAAGATTTGGACATAGTGAAATCTGTAGTCTCTATTCTTATTCAGCCACTGTACTGCAGAAATAAAAATGATCTGGTTTATGACAAGCGAGGAATGACTGTTTGCAAAGTAAAGCCTGGCCCAATGAGACACTCACTTTGACAGCATACTCTTTGCCATTCTGCAGGCTCATGGCACCTTGAACTTTGCCATAGGCTCCCTCTCCCAGCAACTCGGAGGTCAGCTTGTACATATCTAGAGGTGAAATGGATGACAGGAATAACAGGATGAGTCACCCCTTTGCAAGCTAAGATGGAAAGGTGAGTTCTGTCACTCAACTCCTTGTCTGAGCAGAACAGGCACACAATGCCCTTGTAGCGCTCTGAGTAAACAGTCATCCCAGCTCTCAGTTTCCCAACAAGACCACAGAGAAGGCGTCCTAGTTCTCAGTTTAGAGATGACAGAGTTTCACTTCAGCACATGCTTTCTGAGTATCTACTATGTGGTTGAATTGTGTCCTCCACAGAGATATGACCATGTCTAACACTGAGTACCTGTGAATGTGACCTTATTTGGATATGGGGTCTTTGCAGATATAATTCGGTAAGGTAAAATGAAGTCATACTGCAGTAGGGTAGGCCCTAATCCAAAATGACTACATCCTTATAAACAGAAGAGAAAGAGACAGAGACAGACACAGAAGGAAGATGGTCATGTGAAAACAGAAGCAGAGACTGGAGTTATGCTGCCAAGGAACATTTGTGGCTACCAGCAACTGAAGAGATAAGGAAGGCACTTCCTCTAGAGGGACTGTGGCCCTACCAATATCCTGAATTCAGAATTCTTGCCTCCAGAATTATGAGAATAATTTTATGCTATTTTAAGTCACCCAGCTTGTTAGAGCAGCTCTCAGAAACAAATACAAGTTCCTACCTTTTAAAAATTACAGTCCAGTGGGGAAGACAGATACATACACAAAAGACTCCAGAATATACCAGGCAGGCAGTGGTAAGTACTATCACAGAGAAATAAGACAGTGAAAAAAAGCACGAGGAGTGAAAGATTAAATCTGCTCAAGGAATCTGGGGGATCTTCATAGAAGGGGTGTGATATGAATGGACATCATTTATTCATTTAGTCATTCACTGAACACCTGCTACATGCCAAAATGTACTAGGGGAATAAAATACGGTTTTATTTCATGCCACACACAATGGACATCATTGGAGGCTTTTGAGAGGTTTCCAGAAATCACCCACAGGAAGTAAGAGATAGAAGTAGGTTTTCAGGGTGCTGAGTCAGAGCGTTGCTGTGTAATATGCCTGCGTTGATGCCCCATCTGGGTGACCTGCTCAAGCTCTTAGAGCCCCTTCCAAAGGAAGCCAACACATCCACAGTGGCCTCCATTGAGCTTGGCTCCTCCTCCTTTGGCTTCTATTCTTCAACTATTTCCTCTTGAGCAGCCTAACATTTAAACCTACAGACTGAGCAGAACACTTTTAAATGATGAAATTAGATTTTATCACTCTTAGTCATGTGAAGCCCAGTAATTGCACAAGCTATCCTTGAATAACAGGAAATACTCTCTTGTGTTCATTGAAAGAGCAAGATCTAATGATTTGGAAACTATTCTAAAAACCTTGAGACTTTTGCCACCTCCCCTCTTCACTGGAGTCCTGGTATGGCACTGGAGTTCCTATGTGTCAGACTCCAAAGTCATTTGAACTGTAAGGTCAGTGGTTCAAGCTTACCAGATGCTCCTTGGAAACCCTAAACAGGGTTGCTATGGGTTGGAAGTGACTCGATGGCACTTAACAACAACAACCCCTCTTCATTCCCCCATCTGTTTGAGTCAAAGGCAAAAACAAAACAACAAAATCAACCAACCAACACACAAAAACAACTTTTCTATCTAACCTTTGCTCTATCACGGTTTGGCCTTAGCTGTTGTTTGTAAGAACAGATGGCATACGTTGTTTGTATTTTAAATAACACACTTCTTTCACAATGGCGACTTTGGCACTGACTTTTACATAGGACAAACAGTAAACAGGTAGCTGGAGTTTCAATATTGATAGGGCTTGTTGTTAGAACCACCCTACAAAGCAATTCACTACTGTATCTGCAATGATGAAAACAGGGACCATGAGGGGAAGCTATTTCAGGTCTCACAGTGAAGAATCAAAAGATGAAGGGGACATGTTACTTTTCAGAGCAGCTACTGACCCTTTCAGGCCTTTGCAGAGGTGTCCAGTTCATTTCACCCCATCAGATCCACAGTAACAAGAGGACCAGCACTGAGGATAGTGCCTCCAACATAATGTTCAAAAAATGAGTCAGGATCCAGTTTTATGTCCTCTGAGCACAAGCTGCATCCTTTGTGTCCTCTGAGCACAACCTGCATCCTTTAAAACATATACGAGGATCCTTCCAACAAGTTTGTGGACAGTGGAATAAAAAGACAATGGAAGATGGAGCGGCTAGACCCAGAGAGGAAGAGGGGCTGTGTGTTGACGACGAGGGCGCAGGCTTGCAGGGTGTACCATCTGGTTGGTTGATGATGCATGGAGGGGATTGTAACCATGGCAACGTAACGATATACAATAGGATGAATGTAAAGCTAATGTTCTCCCATGTAAACTATCACATAATTCATAGTAAAAACATTAAAAAAAAAAAGACAATGTAATTTTTCCATGAACTCTTTGAAACCCCTTCGTACACAAGAAGCTGCAGTCTTTAGGAGTCAAATTCTTTGCTTATAAAAATTCTAGTTTCATTTGCAGTCATGGCCTGTTGTGGTTTTCCCTTCCCTTCCTCCGGCATGGTTGTTCTAACACTCAGCAGCCCCTCCAGAACAGCTGAGGAAAAGGGAACAAATGAAAAGGACCAAAGCACACCAGGCTATTTCATTCCATGTACATCTCTGATAATCTGGTCTTTCTGCTCATTATGAGGTGGTCAAGCCATTCAAAGGAGGCCTGTGCATCATCTGAAAGCTTCTCTCACTCTCTCGGTGTCACTCTTGTGTGTAAATCCTGCCACGTTTATCTTTAATCACTTACCACACAGATAACCATGAGCTGACTCTCGGATGATTCATATTTTATCTAGACCCACGGCTGCCAGGATGTTCCTCCCATATTTGGGGAGCCACCGGCTCCCCAAATGCAGGAGAATTGGATGACCAACCTTCAAACTTTCCTGGCATGGAGTCAGTGGCCCGGGCCTTCCGTTTTTCCTTCTTCCTCTTGTCACTTTCTGTAATGGGAAGAGACTCACTGATGCCCATCTCTGGGAGATAAGAGAAAATGTAAGGAAAACATTACTGTATTGATCAAGCTGTAAGTTTAGCCAGGAAAAAAAAAGGAACACAGGAGCATTACACTGATGGTTTTTAAATATCCGTGAGGACTATTGATTTGTTTTAACCCAGGAGGCAAAACTAAAGGCAAAACCATTATAGAAGATCATTAACTGTGGAAAAACTCAGACAGGTGGGCTAGATTAAAAGAGGATAGCACACACCTGCTTTAACCAAGTTCATTAGAATATGGATTTAGATCTACCACCAGCCAAATTATATTCCCTAAACAGAACAACAAATCCATAACAGGATCCACCTGTGGCATCCTCCAGCCTCAGCACCAGAAAAAACAGGGTCCAGGGAGCTAAGCAAGAAGGGGTGGGGTCCATGCATAATAAATCATATACTGAGTACACATGCTGAATTGCATAGGGAAGCAAAATGCTTTCAGTGGAGACTGTCTCTGTGAAAGTAACAGTAAGGACTGGATGTAGGTTGAGGATGGCCCCAATGACATCAGGCCCAAGAACACAGATGTGAGTCCTGTGGAGCCCACAGAATCTTCTCCCTACTCAATGTCTGCATTTGAGAGGCTACAGGTTGGACTTCTCTGGAAGTATGCAGGTGACAGGGTTTGGCTAGGTTGTTGGATAAGGTTGCTTATTGCAAAAGCATTATTATCCCTCATTGGTAAGCATCTGGCTCCCCATCAGAAAAGGCAGGTTTCTGAGACAGACATTCAGACACTGCATAGACTGGGCAGGAAAGGGTATAAACAGAAAGAATAAGCAGGAGACAGAGATGGGGAAAGAGAAAAGGAGGAATAACGAGTCAGTGCCCAATCACAGGACGGTTTCTCAGACACTCTAGTAGGGGCCTTCCCCTGTTAAAGATAAATTACTTATAGAACATGTCATGCCCCTGATCCAGAGTGGAGCCTTAATACCCTTTGCCTGCAGTTAGAAATAATAAGATTTCTCTGAAGTCTCTGGGTCTAAATCCCCACCAGGGTGATTAAACCTTTACATCCTTCTAAAATAGAGGCACTCGAGTGCTGATGGGGCATACAATGTGAAAGACTTTTTGACCAGCCTTCAATAAACACAGACTCTGGGTTGTTGGATTTTTTTTTTTTTTTTCTTAGAGATTTTAAAATGGAAGCTGGCTCTCTGCCCATTGAGGGGAAAGACCTACTCTCTTCTCAGAGGACCTTGGCTGAACACGTTGCGAGAAATGGCAAGTCTGCTCAGGCAGATTGATTAACACAGATGTGTGTCTATATGCAGTTCTCAGAAGCAAGGACACAACAGCCATCAGGAGAAAGCACCTGAATGGCACTTCTCCACACCACAATCCAGCAGGCAAGTGTCTGACAGCTCAATCTGAGTACATTCTTCCTTCCAGTTTTGGTATACAATGGCAGCAGACTTTCAATTGTCTGTACTTTAGAATGGAGAGTAGATAAGTAAATGGATAAAAGGAATCCAGAGGGTCTCAAAATATTATTACTTCAGCTAGCAGCTTCAAGATCAAGATAAATCCAGGGACTGCAATACCCTATGAATCTTAAGAATTAAACCTAAACACTAGCACCCAAACGCCTCCTTGTCAACTTAAAATGAAACAAGCTGCCCAAATACAGTAAGAAATTCTATAGAAATAAAACAGAACCATTCATCTTCAAGAGCCCAGGGAGGGGGACATTGGCCGTTGGGGCAGCAGGCTAAGACGAAGGAGGTGCAAGGTTCCCTCCGGCAGTACTGGCCCCCTTGCCCTGTCCTTGTGTGCAGTCTGGTGCCAACCCTCATCCCCATCTATTTTCCCATCAGCACTGCAAGCTGAGCACAGTGGACAGATTTTGGTTTCACCTCTCTTTCTCCTTCCCCTGTCCACACTCTGATGGAGGGCCTAAGGACAAGCAAAATAGCCAACAGGCAAGCAAGGTAGAGGAGCAGCAAGAGAGCTGGCAGCATTATAATTCACAGGGGATGCACAGACATACTTATGACTCTAGCAAGAAAACCTTGTTAGCGGCAATTTATACTTGGTTTTTTACCACAGCAGGGCTGGGGGAGCCTCTTGTGGAAGAAGCACACCTCGGGGCACTGCTGCACACTCAATATTAGATTTTATGGCTTCACACACACAAAGATAGAGTACCTGGTCTATTCTGCATGGATTTCAGTGGAAGAGGGTGCACCAGAAGGGACAAATGGTTAAGGCTTTCCTTGGAAACAGAACTTGTTGAGGAGAGTTGTTTTTGAAACTAGGAAGGAAAATGTAGGAAGACAGTGAAGTGAAACATACATGCTTTGACTTCCCTGTTTATACCGGGGGTGGGGGTGGGGGATGGGGGGATGGGGCAGGCAGGGAGGGGTGTGGGAGAGGTGTCATAATGCTATTAAAGGGCTGACAGTGTCCCATCTGCAGCCTGTCCACACACACTATTGCAGGGTCTGTGTTACTTCCAATCATTGAAACATGCAATCATTTGCTAAATGCTTCTTCAGGGTGTGAGGCCCCATGAACACGCTGGACCTTGGCTCACTGGCTTCGCTGAACCTAGCACTTCTTCCCAGCCACCAAAACACAGCTCACAAGTCCCCTCCACTTTGAAGTTCCCTGATAACTCCAAATGAGTTATGGTTTGTGCAAACACTTAGGAAATCAGTTAAACTCACAGTCATCGAAGTCAATTCTGACTTATAGTGACTCTGTCGAGGTTTCCAAGAATGTAAATCTTTAGGGGAGTAGAAAGCCTCATCTTTCTCCTGAAGAGCAGCTGGTCGTTTTAAACCGCTGACCTTCCAGTTAGCAGCCCAATGCCTAATCCACAGTGCTAAAATCAATTAAGCATTAGTAAATATGAGGGGCTTCAAAAAGTTCATGGAAAAATGGAATTAAAAGACAATGGAATTTTTCCACAGATTTTTGAAGCCCCCTTGTATATGGTATTACTGCACAGAATTAGGACTAGTGTTCCATCCTCTGCTCCCAAGGTCTATTATAAGCACGGATTTTATTTGGCCTTGAACTCTCCCCAGTGTTCCTAAAGGCCAGACTGTGGCCTGTCTGTCTCCTATGAGTTGTGGCACAACATCAGACACACACAAGTCACCAGAAGATTTGCACTGAAATGAAAATTATGTAAAGTACATACTGTTCAGTACAGTGCATATCACACCAGCCCTTTAAGTACGAAGTGCACACACTGAAAGAAATATGGGTACACTTTTGCCCAGCAGGCCACACAGAGTAAAATGCTATGTTCTATGAAGTCCCTGACAAACCCCCTCTCAAACTTGGAGCCCTAAGACTTAAAAGGACCCTAACTTTATGCCCAGAAGTCTGGACCTGGCTACAGGAGTGAAGAATGTGTTTGTTAATTCAGAGAAGGAAGTGAGCACTTCTAGAACCCAACTTCTCTGGAGGTTCCCAGCATTTTCGCTGCCTCCTAGCTCTTGCCTTCCTCCTGAGCAACTTACATTTGTGTATACCAGTGAGGAGTTGTAGAGGACACACACTGCTGCCAGAGAATGCACACCAGGCTTGGAATCAGGAGACTAAGGTCAACATCCTCTCAGATATTACCAGATATACCACCTAGGTCAAGTTACTTTGCCTCTTGGAATCTGCTTCCTAATTTATAAAGTAAGTTTTAAAACAATACCTGCCATATCCACCTCACAGGTATACTGTGAGGGCCCAATAACGTACTTAACATGAATGTTCTTCAAAAAACTTATGTGTGTCCACAGGTATGTTGTTGATATACAAATGAACACACACACAACAGAAAGACTGAAAAGACAGATACAAAAATGTTAAGTATACTACAATTTTAAAGAGTGTCTACTTTGTGCCAAGCAATGTGCTAGGTATTTTATATACCTTATTTCTAATTATCCACCACTCATCTGTCAGTTTGTGATACTGCTGTGGCTTGTGTGTTACTGTGATGCTGGAAGCTATGCCACTGATATTTTAAATCCCAGCAGGGTCACCCATGGTGGGCAGGTTTCAGCAGAGCTTCCAGACTAAGACAGACTAGGAAGAAGGAGAAGTGGACTACTTCTGAATGGATAGTCACCAAAAATCTTATGAAGAGCAGTAGAACATTCTCAGATATAGTGCCAGAAGATGAGCCACTCAGGTTGTAAGGTACTCAGAATGAGACTGGGGAATGGCTGCCTCCTCAAAGTAGAGTTGATCTTAATGACATAAGTGGAGGAAAGTTTTTGGGATCTTTACTTGCTGATGTGGCACAACTTAAAATGAGAAGACACAGCTGTAAACATCATCCATTAATATTCAGAAGATGGTATGTATGAAGTATGAATCTAGGAAAATTGGAAGGTTTATTGTGTCGGGAACAACACGTTGAAGAAGGATGGCATCACACTCATTATCAAAAAAAGAACATTTCAAGATCTATCTTTAAATACAATGCTATTTGTGAGAGGATAATATTCATACACTTACAAGAAAAATAAGTTAATACTAATTCTATTCAAATTCATGCACCAACCACAAAAGTTAATGATAATGAAATTGAAAAATTCTATCACTTCTTCAGTCTAAAATTGATTGAACATGCAATCAAGATGCGAAAATTAGAAACAAATAGGAAGTATCAGTAGTTGGAAAATATGATCTGGGTGATCAGTATGATGCCAGATATCGCATGATAGAATTTTATAAGACCAATGAATTATTCATTTGTGAATACCTTTTTTCAACAACATAAATGGTGACTATACATATGAACCTCATTCAATGGAATATACAGGAATCAAACTGACTATATTTGTGGGAAGAGATGATGGAAATATTCAATATCATCAGCCAAAAAGAACAGGGAAGATTGTGGAACAGACCACCAATTGTTCATATGCAAGTTCAGGTTAAAGCTGAAGAAAAATTAAAACAAGTCCACGAAAGCCAAAATATGATCCTGAATATATCCCACCTGCATTTAGAGTCTATC